TTTCAAAGACTTCCAGTGTTCTTCCACACAGGTTTCTTCAGGGATGTTGCTCGGTGTCTCCCATTTTGTCTTGATGGCTGCCTTGAAGATCTCCTTTGTAGTTTCATCCTTCAGTTTCCGAGTGTTGTACTTGGGTTGAGGTCTATCACCAGCTTCCTTGAAGGCTTTTAACTTGATTTGGAAGGTTCCTTGCACTAGGTAGTGGTCTGAACCTACATCTGCTCCTCTTCTTGACCTTGTGTTAAGTAGACTGCGTCTCCATTTTCTTGAGATTGAGATAAAGTCGATTTGATTTTTAGTGTGTCCATCTGGTGAAATCCATGTCGCTTTGTGGATATCTTTGTGCCTGAACACACTGCCTCTAATCACCAAATCGTTGAATGCGCAGAATTCTGCAAACAATTCTCCATTCTCATTCATTTCACCTAGTGCCTCTCGACCCATGGTTAGTTCTCTTCCCGTGTTGTCCCCTCCCAGTTTGGCATTCATGTCGCCCATCAGAATTTTGATATCGCCAACTGACGTCTTGTCCAGTGTTGATTGAAGTTGTCTGTAGAAATCCTCCTTCTTCTCTTGCTCTGCATTATTTGTAGGTGCATAACATTGTATGATTGTGACCTTCCTTCCTTTTGAGTTGAATCTTGCTGTCATGATCCTGGAGGAGATTGGTTCCCACTGCATGAGAGCCTTCGATGCTCTTGAGGACATCATGATAGCCACTCCATAACTCAGTGTGCTCGTGGTTGGCGTCTGGGTGACACGGAGTAGATTATTGATTCTCCAGTTGACAGTTTGGAGAGTCCACTCCCATTCCATCTGCTTTCGCAAATCCCAAGCACTTCGATGTGATACCTTCTCATCTCTTTTGCAATCTGGGCTGCCTTACTGGGTTCAAACATCGTGCGGACATTCCATGTCCCCACGTTTACTTTCGCTTTCATCGAGAGAAGAGAAGGCACATCGGCCAATTGGCTTCCCGAAGGCTTTCACCAACTGGCGTCATTTCGCCTCTCCGATTCCAGCGGGGAATAAGTTTGTTTTCAATTTTTATATTTTGTTTGTGCTTTGAAGTTTCTTTAGCGGTTAGATTTGTTTTACGGGGTAGGGTTGCTAGCCCTATGCCCAACCTTCCCTCTTTACCGGGGCTTAGGACCGGCTAGTAACTAGTAAACTAGTTAACCAGGCGAGGTTATAGCGCACAGTGATACAGTATTATTTACTTGATTACGATTCGAGCATAAATTATTGCTTATAATCATATCAGTGTAATCACACTTCTTTCGATATCTGATTTTAGAGTCCTGTCACCTGATTTTTCTTTGTTTTTTGTCTTTTGATTGGTAGTAAAGTTTTCCATATCTCTGTTATAGGTGTTGCGTCATTTCTATTACATGTGTTGGGTGTGGATTCGATGAACAAAGATTCAGTAATAATCTCTGTCTCCACCAAGCTACATTAGACTTAAGTGAAATGCTTTTGTCCCACCCTATTGTGTGGTTGTGTGTTAATGAATGTAATGCAATGGCCGAGTGTTTTTCTGGATTATTGATCTTATTGGGGTCTGTCGTTCTATGGGACAAAACCACTGTACTTAAGTCTAAGTCTAATGTAGCTTGGTGGAGACAGAGATTATTACTGAATCTTTGTTCATCGAATCCACACCCAACACATGTAATAGAAATGACGCAACACCTATAACAGAGATATGGAAAACTTTACTACCAATCAAAAGACAAAAAACAAAGAAAAATCAGGTGACAGGACTCTAAAATCAGATATCGAAAGAAGTGTGATTACACTGATATGATTATAAGCAATAATTTATGCTCGAATCGTAATCAAGTAAATAATACTGTATCACTGTGCGCTTTATATCAAATAAACAAATCTAATATGGAATTACATTCTACCACAGTGCCAAAGTTCTACACTAAAATGAATTATTTTGCTGACAAATTCCGCTAATCGTATCAAGCACTGAAATATTCATCAACAAAGCAGTCATTCACGGACTGGTCAATATTTTCCTCTTTTCCCTATGGGATTATACTCCAGACAGTAACAGTAATTATAATTCTATTGACTGGTCACGGAAGTGCAACCAATTTTATATTGTCTAGTCCTGAGTGCAGATCGAATTCTATCGATCACATTTGCAACGAGATTCGAACCCGCTTCACCCAGTGTGGGACATCAGTTCCATCGAGGTTGCAGATACGCCTTGCTGACGAGTGCCAAAAAGCACGAAACCTAGGTCCAGGGCTTCCTGCCGATTGCCTCCAACCAACTAATTATAATTCTAGATAGATAAGTCAAAGCCTGATTAAATATTTTGGGTACTAAGTTTTCAGTCTCACATATTGCAACGGCTTTTTCTTAGCTTTAGTAAGTTTTAATCATTTTATCATGTCCCCTGGTTGCATTATACATTCACGCACAGCTTTAGAGTTTACAGCCTTCTGTGATACAACTGACAAATACTATAAGGAAAAAGCATCACAGTTGATGGTGATGTGCTTTGAAGCGAATAACTTTATTTCAAATGACTCTGCTTTAAATTATAAGTGTGAACTGAAGGTCACTACAGGGAAAGGTGGATTACTTATAATCTCTTCTATTTTCAAATGTATACCATAGTTCTAGAGTAGTTACATTTCAAAAAATCTGGCAACATGATCTCTATGATGATAATGAGATTTCTCTGAATGGCTTAAAATTTTTCTGCCAAGATCGACGCAGCTCCACTTTGAAATATGGAGGTGGTGTAGCTACCTTCACCAATACCCACTGATTTTAGGAATAGTAAGGTTGTTGCGACAATCGCTCTGAACTTCCCACTTGTTTCAGACACTATTGATTTAGATACTGGAACTACTTTAAGGCTATCATCATTCTTGGAAGGAGACTCATTAAAAGTGTTGGTAAATGGATGACACAGAATATGAGGATATTTGTTAGATACACTACCTAGCATGCCATCTGGTTCATAGCCATGTTTAGGTTCGTTTGATTTCACTGAATAGAGGAAAATGACCCTATGATACATGTAAATAGCTGGATAAGATCAAGTTGATAGACTTGCATATGGATAACTGATTTTGAGTACAGATGTTTTTGACAAACTTCCTTATTTAGCGTTTTTCTACTTGTAATATCTTTAAACAGTCTCGATATACTTGGAGCACTTTCACACGAGCTAATATTGGATTACAGATTACGTTAGGTTAGATTTAGATTAAGATTTCAGACTTTATCAGGCAGTTAATTTGTTTATTGCCGGTTTATCACTCAATTTGCGCAGTTTCATTTTTCCGTTCGTAGTCTCTTCAGGTGAGGAGAAGGAAATCTATAAAATCTTTGGAGGATTTTCTAGGCTGTGTAATAAGTATCACGACAAAATTTCAAATAACATGTGAAAACATCGATAATGCTTTTCAAAACATTAACAACAAATATTTCCGGTATTTCTACTTTGCTGCATCCATCTCAGTTTGAGTATGTTGTCGTGTGTACAGCCCCTGTGTATGATCTTTTAAGATTGGTAAAATGAAGTAATTTTCGTAGTTTGTCATATAGTTTCGTCAAAACACCAATAATTCAGGGATATGAATTTCTTACGGTACTCTCTGTCGAGTTTAATATATACTAAGTTCCCCTTAAAGAATGCCAAGTTCAATATGACATTCAGACGAGGTGAAAAGCTAAACAGTTTTTGTTACCGAGAGATCTCAGAAAGGTGCAGCCATAAGAGATAACAATGAAGCAAACTGTTGACACTTGACCTAGGATTATGACAGCCGTGATTTCTGTGAATTTATTGGAGAATCCACAAAACTCAAGGTAGCTCCACTCAGGTGTCACGTAAACTTCTATGTTAATGTAGTCATATTTATCTTAATGTCTGAGAAGACGCTTAACAGTAGTAAAACCAATAATATCTTTAGAATAGGTGAAACAGATGTAATTTGATAAGGAACACTAAGTGTTGACGAAAATGGTTAAACCACATTGCTTCTTCATAGGAATAAACTCATCTTGGTAAAATATTTCGTAGCACTTTACAGAGACTAAATTATCGTCATATAGTTAGTTTATGCAGCCAAGTTTCTTGTAATCTTATTGCACCAACACTGAGAAAAAGAGAAATAAAGAAGGGGTTTTAAAAAATCCCCTTTTTTTCTGGCAGAGGCGTGCAGTGTAAGCTAATTATTGGAGCAGAGTGATCTGAAAAATAAAAGTTCTAGCTAGATAAACATGTAAAGTGGAATAAAATCAATTATGGTAATGTTGTAGTAATCTCTGCAGTGCAACTTTATATGGCAGCTGAAGCCTTCTAACTAACGGAAGAGGTCTTTGCATCTCTTGCACTTCCTTTGAAAAACATTTAGTCAAATAAAACGATTTTCAGGTGAACAGTGTGATGATAATGATTAAAATTATGTGGTTTCATTTTAACCTTACACTGACACAAGAAATTTATTGTATATCATTTGCTCAATATTGTTTACAGAAATGAATTTTCAGAGGGTAATAAGTGGGTCACTGTAGGCAGATGAATGCATTTATTGCATAGTCAGTGGATTAGTTTCTTTAGCTGGAAAATGTTCCCATTTATTATTTATTTCGTTGCTTGATTTATCATTTTTCAAAGTTAAGCAACCTGCTGCCACTGACCTATCCATTGTATACGTCCTGCACTAAACTGAAATATATAATTATGCTGCTGCATTTTATTGATACTATGATGAATTATAAGTTCATTAAAACAAATCGATACTAAATACCTCTAACTCATCACAGGTTCTTGATTACTTAATCAATAATGACCTTAAGATAGCCTCGAAATAAATTTTTGTATTTATCATTTGAATATTTCTAAACGCAAAATACGTTTTCAGTTATTTACCAAGTCGATTTATGAACAGTCCTGAAACAGACTTACGCCTAGGACATCTTCAGCCAGTCCGATTACCTTAAATCTTCCAAAACCTGATTCACAGGATGATTTACCGGATGAAAATTTATTCAACAAAGAGCAGCAGAAGCAAGTTAATAGAAACATTCGCGATGCACATAGTTCGAAATCAATTCCGGATTCCAGATTTTATAAACGAAGGGTATTATCTCAAAAGTCAGCAAAATCTGTGAGTTCAAACAACGTTTTACATCCTTCATGTAATGTTTTCTCTACATAAGTTTACTGTCTCCAAAACCCAACGCAGAACTTTTAATCTGTTGACAAATTAAACAACAAAGTAACATATTTCTAATGTAAGATTAAAAACTGGGCACTCTAATATGTATGAATGTATAGAGTTTGAAAGCCTTTAGAGTATTCCCTTTACTCTCAGATGGATGTTTCCTCCGAACACAGTAATCACCAACCCTGAGGAAAATAAAAGTTACCACTTTAAGAGTATGGTACTATTATGTTGATGGTCAATACCCAGTTGCGTACAATTGACTTCTCAATCTGTTAGTACACGATAAGAGGCAAGTTGAACGAAAACAACGCCATTTCTGGAGACTAGTTTTTTCCTTTCAAGCACTTAAAATAATTACTTATTTCTGAAGCAATATCTTTCAATCAAAGTATTCGAAGTATATCCTACCTGTTGTCGAAACGCACATTTACTATTAGACATCTTACACAAAGCAACAACAGATACGTAGGCTTTTGAGTCTTGTCAGGAACTTCTTGAGTCGTCACTAATACTAAGAATATTAATGACTTATGAGGATAAAATCAGTTCCGAAAAGAAACCCATCTTATAATCAGAAAAGATGTTATTAATTGTTTACTGCAACTTCACAAGGAAGAGAACAAATAATAACTTGGTTACCAATCTAAAAACCTTACTTCATACCTTCAATACCTCGGTAGATAATAAATATTTTCGGCCGGCAGTCGAATGATAAACTGATTGGTTGCATGAACAATTTGTTTGATAGAAGGCTTTATTAAACACCGCATATTACTTCAACATTTCTAAAAGACTCGAAACTTTATGATATTTCTTAGTCACTACCTTTTTTGTTTGTTCAGTCCACTGACTGCAACAGTGGATGACTTGAGTTTGGATCCCAGAAGTGAAACCAGTCTTCCCGAAGTTTCAGATACACCTCACTGCAAAGTACAACAAGTAAATAACTTAGGTTCAGGGCTTCCTGTTGATTTCCTTCAACAAGCTGATATTAATTTCTTCCTCAGCGAATATTTCTCAGCTAAATTCAAACTGGGAATTGCATAAGATAATTTAAAGTTAGGAAGTAAGTAATCTTAAGTTGTGTAGCGAAACCACTGATAATCTATATGACGTGTAAGATATTTGTACCGAGAGTTGAGAATAGTAAGATAAGAACACTAGGTACCAGACGACATTAGGTGAGTAAAATAAAGAATCATGTAATGAACGTAAAGCAATATCAAGTTACAGCCACTGTAGAGGTGATAAACTAACCAAACTCTCCTTCTGTGTGAAGAATTCTCATTGAAAGTATTTTATAGTAGTCATTTCTGTAAAGCGTTGCAACCCAGGAATTTCGCTGTATTTTTGTTATTCTAAGAGAGCTGAAGGTTTCACCTGATGTCCTGTGCTTATGTGGTGCCTGTCAAATGCACTGGTTAAAATCTTGTTTCCTTTCATGCTCAGGTTCAGATGTAGTTCTTCTTGTTTTGTCTAAATTTAACTTTTCGTGAAATAAAAAATTGACATCTCAATGACCAGAGAATTATGCTACTTTCATGAGGCTAGGGAAAAACTTGAATACTATATATATCTCCCTATCAAACTGACTTTGTAAGACATTTAAACGCAATCCTTCACAATTCATAACCCAAATACTGAGCATTAGAAGTAGAATGGGTTTTTAATAGCTTGCTGTCTACTTTTTTGAGCCCAGTTTTAATTTCTTGTGGTTTCGTTTGTAAAGCTCTGAATATGGTAAATGTTAACCAAGTTTTTGTCTGTTTTTATTCCCAGTAATAGAAGTTGGCAACTTGCACCCTCTAAAACCTTCCTCAGAATCCTGATTTACTGTTAGAATGGCTTCTTTTCATCGCTGACTCCCAAGAATGTTTTGTTGTCTAACATTTAGTCACACTAATGGATAAAACTGTTAGCCATGTACATGAGTTGAACGCCAGTGGATAACTAAAGTAGCTGCCACTCTTTAGCCCTTAGCAGGGCTAAAAATCTATTGATCAAGATTTACAATTTGGCCACTAAGTGACGAGATAAAGCGATACCGTGCACTGTGGCCCTGGAGCCATGTTTCGCGCATGTTTTTACTCATTAGCAAGGGATATCTGCAACCATGAAGAAAATAGTGTTCTCTGTGTGATCCGACTCAAGACCAGAGGGGCTATTTGTGTTATCCACTGATTACTAAAGGTGTAAGTCTTAACCTGAATAGCTTATTGTTAATTCTATGGTAGCAGCACTGAGCAACACAGTTTCGAATCATCGAGGAATACCAATTTTCTGAAGGTTGTAGATATGTCTTGTTGATGTGTCCCAAAAAGCACGACACCTAGTTTTGGGACTTCTTGTAGGCTGACTCTTAAAATCTAAAACTGTCAGCCATTTAACCCAGTCTTTTAGGAATATTAAATAGAAAATAGTATTGGTAATAATAGTAATAAGTGGGGACTGGGATTTAATAAACAGACCATAGGTTATGACACCCAGAATAATCTTCCTAGGCAATTCGAAAAAATCTTGTTCTTCCTGTGTGTAGTCATTTTAATGGTGACGGTCTGAAGTTAATAAGAATTTCATGTGTATAACCGTCTCTCTATTATCCAGTAAATTTTCATGTCATAGGAAAATTTCTTTGATCGTCTCACGTTCTATGTAAATCTACCTACAAAAATATGCACCTATTGCTCATTTTCCTACATAGAATCATTATTATCTGACTATTCTTCAGAATATATTGGCTAGGATTTTGAATCAAACTGAGCACAACAACAACAGAATGATCCATGTTAAAATAACAATTTAAATCCTCTTCTATTCATTTACGTAAGAATGGCAAGAAATTATTTAAAACCAGTAATAAAAAGTATACTTCTGTGCTTAATGAAGGCTTCAAGTGAACAAACACAAGTTTGACCTACAGATGTTTGCTAAAATTGTGTCTGTTATGTGTGATAAAGTATTCATCAGAGTAACAATCTGAATCGCATTTCCCAGGACAAAACATGGATTCAGCTTCCGAAAGCGTGTCTTTCTATGCACGGAAAGCTAGAATTAACAGCTTTCAACAAACAACCAGTATCTTTCAATGAGTCGCATAACGAAAAACGTCATCCAAATGCACTTATGAGTTCCTTTGGGATTCGGCAATCCAGTCCCAGAAGAGTCAGAGTTTACAATACCTGCTATTCTGAAACAAAACGTGGTAAATATAATTGTCCTGTGTATCGTCGTTCGGAAATAACGTCATCGAAGCCTTCAAAATGTTTTGATTCAAAGGATGCTTTTTTCAAGAACATGCGGTCCACAGGTGTTACTATCATTGACCTAGCCAATAGTGCTCAGTGTTTGATCGTCAATTCATTACAGTCTGCTTATACTCAGGTGAGTGAACTGACTTTCACTGTAGTCATTCATATTAGGAAGTGAGAACTTTCCACTTTTTATTGAGCTCGAAAACACATTTTTAGCTTGAAAAGGAATGTAATAACTGCAATATTATAGTTCGAATATTTCCTGACAGTTAAAACGTAACTCTTCCTTTCAGTCCTTAATTAGTTTTTCCATAATGCTAATGAGTCATCAGATGAATGTTGTATGTTTATTAACTGAAATTAAGGTGAAGACGAATGCATATATACTGTGGGATTGAGGGTTACTTTTTAGTGCGTGCACCGTATTACAATTAGGCCTAGAAACTTCTCTATTCAAATTAAAGACTGCTTTACTGGACAACATTTTAATGGTGTAGACCTATCAGTTTTGGCAGTTGAAGTTTTGTGCGATAAGGGTAACTCTAAAAATTCAGAAAAAGAATCATTGTTTTGATATCAAAAATCACTGACTAGTTTAAAGAACAAAGTTACAGTTGTCAAAAGTAATCTAGGTTGAGTGCATCATATCAAATGAGACAAATAGTAATCAAAACTTCACTAGTGATTTATTGAAATGCCCGCAAAAGGCAACTGGAAGCAGAATTACTTTCCTAGGAAGGAATTATTTTAAAGAAAATCTAAGGATGTTGCTGTAAAATGTAAGCTATTGCAATTTATGAGATTTACTAGAAACTGTTGTTCAGCATTAGCATGTTTGCCAAAACATTCTGTTTGATTGTAGCTCACATCAGAGACACATATGGGTGAGGAAAATTTTGAAAAAAAAGGTGTCTGGAAGCTGTTACATTCCAGCTCACACTTATGATATAATACAAAACAGCCTATCACTACTAGGTTTCAGCTTAGCATCGTACCATCCATCCGCAAATTTCATATACATTCATAAGTCTACGAAAGTGGAAGTTTATTGGTATTCACTTCTTAGTCTTCATGAATAATGACGATAAACCATTGACCGCCATAAATCCTTGTTAAGCGATAATATTACGAAGATGGAATATTGCTTTATGAGCAGCAACAGACATTATATGTTTCCTTACAAAGCCGAACTGATTCACATCTCTGCGAAATACCCAAATTTCTAGATATAGACGGCTTGAAAATGATGCATGAACCTCCTATAATGTCCTCCGCAAAGAACAGTTGTAAAGGAGGGTTCTGTAAGTTATTATTCAGGTTACGATCAGTAAGCATGAGACTATTTCACATCCCACAATAAGACAGTGAAAACTGACAAATCTGATTCAGTTCTTCTTTATAGGACGTGTTTAAAATTCCTTTGAACATCTTATTTTCAACCCCTATATCCCATCAAATTCTTTAGTCTCATTGTCACAGCAGTCAGGGTTACTCATGACACTTGGTCGTTCCTCATCCATAAGAATCGGATTACTTTTCCGTCTACTGGTTTGTAATAAGTTGACTGATTTGAACTAGTTTGACACAAGTCACTATATCAATGAAACTTTCCTTTGACTTTTGACCAACTTCTATGCATGTCCATCAATATATACATATGCTTCTTCTTAAGAATTTCAAGACCATATGTTCAAATAGGACTTCAGTAACACAAAACCGAGCTGGTAAAACCCTTAAGTCAGTACACAGGAATGTCTATAAAAAAAGTAATACACATTAACGAATAATTATATGTAACAATAATGATAATAAGATTACAAACCTCAATTAATGAGTAGTCTCAGAGTTTATCACATCTTCAAGTGCTCTGCAGAAGAAGTGGGTCAATAAATAAAATAAGCAGTGAAAGGCTGCTACAAAATAGGCCCATGGTTGAGAATGAAAGACTATTGAAAGCTTGAAATAGACAGAAGGACTGAGGTGAAGAAAGGTTGAAGTAACTGTATGAGAAGTCTGATGTGAGCTGAACAAGGCGAAATACGGTTATGAAATGGCAAAGAAAGCTATTACACTCCACTGTTTTCTTGCTAAGCTCAAGTCTACTAAAAAAAATAACAACAAATGAGTAAAACAAACATGATACTCACAATCATTATTGTTAGTTAGTATAAAATTGAAGGTATATTTTTCCCAAAATCAACCATAAGATAGAAGGAAATAATATTGAATTTCAAAAGGTACAACATTATATATAAGATCTGTAGCTTTTTATATACCTGGAATTGTTTGCTCTTCTAACTTACTTCTATAAAACACTGAAAATGTCATTCTGAAGGTATTAAACTTCATCAGTTATGAGACTTCGACTAATTCCATAATATTTGTTTTAAGGGTAGTTAGTTTCAATAGGGAAATAACATTTGTAATAAAATCAGTTAAGATATTGGGCAGAACATTGAACTTGAAGCTAATTACTAGTTTAACCATTCCATTTTTGAAGGCATAAAGTTCAAAAGATGCAACAACCTAAACTCAGCTATACCAAGGCTAATGGTCAAATCGTCCTCATCCAGGTGAATAATAAAATTTTTTTTGAGCAGGAATGATAAAGTCTTTTTAGGAAGGTTAGTTCCCTGCATGAAAGTTGTCTTGAAAGGAATGTGGGTGTTGGAATGATCAGAATTTTGGCATTTCACCTGCTTTCAAACAGTCTTGGAAACCACTCAGCGGTGTATCCGAAAAAATTCAGCTCACCCACCTCAACTAATTCGCTTCCTCAATACTGAATAGCATCTTTCACCGTTTCATGACAAATTTATACCAGCGATCACCCCATGCTCTCTGTTGAATGGTTTTCAACATAAGCCTTTCCGATACCAAATGTGGGCACTTAAAAAACTACTCAAATATGAGACATATCAAGGTGGATCGTACAATTTGTAAATCATTTGCAACTCGATCATCCTAACTGCAAGTTTTTTTAAATTATACAAAGTTGATAAGTAAACATATTCCATTGCATTTTCCTCTTTTTCCATTTACTACGACGGGAATGATTTCTATATAACAAAGGGAACAACGGAATCACTTTCAATGAAGTCCTTTCAAAATCTTCAATGATGATGATGTGAAAGTTGATGTAGGTAGTTTTCAATCAAATAAAAAGTTATTTATATTAATTTCGTCTTCTCAATCACATTCATTCTGAAACAATTAGTCTCTTTCATAAATATGGAGAGTTTAATTAGACGAGGAAGTTAATAACAATAACATGCATTTTCATGATGCATATCAAACAATCTGACCACACATTTACCTTCCAAGTCAGTTTACGTAAAACTGAAGAATAGCAGCAAAAATAGAACAAATAAGTTAGTAGTGGATCTAAATTAGAGGAAATAAACATTGAAGAATAATATATTCGATCCTGATCTTGATTATGAAACCCAGAGTTTACGAAGGTAGGTGTAGTATAAGAAAAAAAATTGTTTTTGTACACACAAAAGTGGTTTTACTTTTCCAATGGCTGTGACTTCCACATATTTCAAAATGTGCCCTTGACCATTTTTCTAGATTGAACTTTGAAAGCTGTTTAGACTGTAATTGTGTAACCGGTTTGGTCATTAGTGAAGAGGCCTGTCTGCCACAAACCTTTATCTAAGTTTCACTCTCCATTTCCTTTTGAAGTCAATTAGTTAACTTTTCTCTTACCCCCAAATGCATGGCTTGATTACTCCTCCTTATTATGTTTTTTCACACTCACACATATAAACTCTAAGTCGATGGTACGTGACGTAATAATCTATGGGTTATTCAGATTTATGGGAACGCATATAAAATGTATTTTTACTTGTGTAATCCCGGCGTAGTATATTAGAACAAATAACAAAATAAACAAATATTTTGTATTATTCCTCAACGTTTCGATCTTGCTGGGAAGATCCTTTTCAAGAGTATGAATCTGATACTAAGTTTTCAGGTCAGTAGTCAAGTTTTGGTACACAAAGTGGTGATCTTTACAATCATCCAATTACATAGTGATATGGAGCAAAGATCGATGCAATACAGGTGAGTGACTAAGCAAGCCGGTCAGAGAGGTTTTTCCGTTGTGTGAGTAAGGTGGAACAAAAATAGGGTGGGGAAATTTTTTAGTTCGTCTATGAAAAGTACAATGGGGTTGTGAGACATCAAGGGTGAGAAAGAATAGATTAACTTGTTTGGAAGGATGAATATTTGAAGATGAGACTGCTAGCCACTGCCCATCATTACTAAACATGAGACAATATATCTTAATAATAATGCTAACCATAAATGTACTTTTGATAACACTTGAGGTATGAGTGATAACAAAATGGATAACAAAATGTTATGATTCATCGAATGTATATGACTCAGAAAGTTGTGTAAAATTGATGAAAACAGTAGATCAGTAAGGTGTACGTAATAGGACTAGACAATCTACCTTCTCTTCAGATATTATTTATAACTGCCTAGGCGAGTCACTAATGTTTGCCATATTAGTGGGATATCTAACCCATCTTTTCTGTTGACCGAAGAAGGATATGAGCAGATGTGCAAAGCTTCTGCAATGGTCCGCTTTTTGTGAGAAAGAAAACCCTTTTGCAGAACTTTTGTCTGTTCGAATGATATTTTATGACCTGAATATAAAGCATGAGCCGCGACAGCAGAGCTTTTTTCAAGTTTTTCTAATATACTACGCCGTGACTACACAAGTAAAAATACATCCTGTACAATGAATCATACTAACTCGGTGACCAAGTTTTTCAAACCATCCGGAAAGCATAAAGTTTATCTAGCCAGTATTTCAGTACAAAAGAAAGAATTAGGTCAACATGTCACTCAAATTTCTAATTAAACCAAAATTAGAAGGAAAACTATTAAATTTAAAAAGTCATAAGTAGGAGCTCGACAATAACATATATAGCTTGGGATATTAACCTTTACACTGATTAGACAGTTAGGGGAAGTCACATCAATAATTATGAAGAATCTGTGTCAAATATATTCGTAGAACTCCAAAGCGATCATATTCCATAGTCTCCCTTGAAGTTGCATACCACAGAAAATGAACGCGGATCGAAGAAAGAATGGAGAAAAGTGATCAGCCAACAACTGACATCAATTCTAATGTCTCAGCGTTTCCCAACTGGTTATCACTGGAAGTAAACAAACAATTGAAACTACTTCAGTGAGTGACAACTGAACAACGTTGCTCATCAAACTAAATGTCAAGGCACAGGCTGCATTTTACATCAATTGCTTTTGTGCACGTAGTACTAAATGAATGTTACATATTGAGAGTCGATTGACATCAATCCATTGAACTAAGCTCTCTGCTTGTCGACAGTCACCAGCATGATATATCTGCAACCGTGAGAAAACTTGCCTTCGGTTGATAATTCCAACCTGCCTCACACAGTGGCAAAATCAGAAACTTATCCACTAAGACATTTCGGTCACATTTGACGTCCTAATGGATTGAGTTGTGTACAAGAATGGGCCAGTAGTTGGTGACCGATATAGTTGTTCAGTTTTTAAACCCTGAAGAATAATAGTAGGTGAATTGACCTGCGTATACTTTGTGGATTCCCCTCAGTTGCTTTACAACCTATAGATTATAATGTTTACGGTAAAAAATTGTTTCACAAAGTGCTTGCATAAAACGACAAGAAGCTAACAATGGTTCAGTTTGACCGAGATTGATGATGTCATTAAGACTACTCAAAGGTTAACATTTTATTCAGTAAAAGAGTGAACATTTCACAAAAGGGGGGGGGGGTTGTGCACAATGTTATTATAAAATTGGTAAGAATGATGTCATGGTTGAGTAGGAGTGATTAATGGTCATTAGGGTTGCACCATGTTGAGTTATAAGTACAACTTAGAATGTGAGAGTAGGTTTAGAAATAGATCGAAAAATAAAGTGAAGAAGAGGACAAGAGGTCATGAATTTAATATTTAGAAATTTGGGAGAATAAAACTACCAAGATAGAGTGAGATTGACAGCATTATCTTTCTGAATACATGGGTCAAGTTTGAATCTTTTAATTGCAACTGATTCAGCAAGCCGTAACACAGTGGGTTTCAGTTGTTTATTCCTCACTGTGAACGACTTCAACAGGTTTTGAAGCACAAGCATATTTACTTACGCCTGAAACTTGTGACACTTGTTTGTTGGACGGAGGTGATCAGTCGAATACTCTAGATCTATGTCTCGTACTTGTTGTCCTCATTGCAAGCAAGATGTATTTGCATCAGCACTTACGACTAGACAGCATGAATTTGGTTGTCCTCCCGTGACAATTCTGTATGCTTGCAGTATTACTTCATTAGTGTCCATGGTCCAAGAGGCTTCATGGAAGAGTTTGACTCCAGGAATATGGATTACTGGGGAAGCATATACTGTTAGTGAAAGCTCACTAAACTATGTAAGGTCTTATGGGGAATCGTCGTCTAATATAACAACAAAAATTAGTCCGTCGTCAAAAGTGCTGTTTAACTTTGTTGCAAAAGTGCTCATGATCATAATCCTAAGTGCCTGCAAATCATGGGGACTGACTTACATGAAGACATCTACTTCACTTAAGTTATACAGACACACTTTGCAGTTGGACAAAAATATTGAAGAAAATGCAAATTCTTCTGAATATGTTGAACAGAAATCTGACTATACTTGGGGTTTATTGATCGAAGAATGGGTACTCTGCACAGTGGTCCATACATTAGTATTAGTACTGAGGGCTGTGAGGCACTTCTCGTGAAATCTTCAAAGTCTTCAATTTTTCATCAAGTTTTATCGATTTATTTCATTTACTCACATGCACTTTTGTCTACTTCAGGATAACTCTCTTTTCATCGACTTACATGCACCCTGCTTTGAAGTGTGGCAAATCGAACTGATGCACTTTTGTGTCATTTTCGACTTTGATTTGTTGGTCTGTCTGGTCATCTTCAGCTGAATTCGGATGACAGTTAAACTGAGGCTATCGTAAAATCAATAATCGATAGAAGGATACAGTGACATAGTTTTGAACTTTGTAAATATGTTAACCTGCAATCATTCTGTTAGTTGAGCAGATAATATTTATGATGTAATCCATTTGTGGTGTAATTCACAATTATGTAAATATATTTGAATTCAACACCCAGAACTTTTAACTTTAATCACTACGTCTATCATTGAACTGAATTCCCGTCTATACTAATACTCTTCGGAAATTTCATGCAAATACTCACGTGCATGATGAACAATAATTAGAGTAAGGCAGCAAAATACTATTCCATCTCACCCATTTTCGGCCAGTCTTCCGCAGTCTCAAATCTGTAGATGTCCCACACAGCGTAATTTGAACATGATAGATGCAATGAAATGTAATCAGTTAACAAGTAAGACAATGATGTAGTAAGGAAAAGAGGTTTCTAAACAACATTATGGTGTTCTAAGAAGTTCTATCATATGTCCTGATCAACAGAAAGTTTCAAAAATGTCGATAGGTGATCAGAGTGTGTTTTGGCGTTCAGAAGATTCAGAACCACATTAGTTCTTGATATTCTAAAACATTTCTGTTAAGTGGACGAATATTTTATAGATAATATATTGCACAATATTCTGAGAGGCAATTCATCTGAAGTTTGACTATAAACACCTAGGCTGTGAACTATTTCCTCTCCAAAACATTTGACCCATCACTGAGTCTTCTACTCAGTTGGTGAAATTACTTACGCATCGGAAAAGTGAAGAAACACGTTGGTTCCCATGAGGAAATGGTCAGTGGTATAAATGTCGCATATTCAACGAAGCTTATCAAATTTAGAGAAACATAAAGCCAAATCATCTGTTGACTTTTCGGAATATCCTGAGAAGCAGATCCGTAGTTTGAGAAGTGAAATGCCAGGTACTTTGACTTGAAAAGGAAGAATTATCCAATGAATCCAAGGTGAAGTTACAGTTGAGAATTTGCTTCATCATTTGGCAGATTAAGATTCGTTGCTTACAGTTATGAAGAAGTAGTTCAGAATTAAGCAGTGCTTTTAAGTTCCATAGATTGAGATCATCTCTAAGAATATTATATTAAATCGCATGCCTACAACGTTTTCCT